GAGAGGGAACAGTGGGGGAAGCTGTCCAAAAGCAGTCTGGTCTGGTGGTCAGGAGGCTGCCATGGGCTGCTTTGTATGCAGCGGGGTTTAACTGGGTGGCACTGAGCCAAGCCTGACCTAACCAGCTTATTTCCCTGCTTCCAGTAATGCCTCTACAAATGCGCCGGGGCCTGAAGGTCAGGGCCACGTGAGCAGGGCCTGGGGATTAGCTGTGGGCAGAGCATGGCTCCTCCTGGGTGTGTTGTAGTCCTGAGCCATGGAACAGCCACAGCTCCCGTGTGTGCTGGAGCCAGCATGGCCTTGGTAAAGGGATGGGAGCTGGAGCAGCACCTCCTGCACCTGGCACTTGTCAGAAGCCCAGAAAAATAGAGAAATGTTTACTAGTCCCACTTCAGCTTTGATTTTCCTTCTGGGCATTGATCACACTGGCCAGTGGGTTGCTTTTTCACATGTTTGCTCTGCAAGGGTGCCTAGCTTTGGTTTTGGAAGAAAGTCCAGCAAGTTGGCAAAATTCTGAAAGCACTTAGTGCCCGTACCTCTGAAGGCCACAGTCATGCTCGGCTGAGCGTGAAGAGTCCCTGTTGGGGCACAGAGTCACTGCTGTCCCCATCCTAGTGGAAGTTATTACCTAGTGTGGTGCACAAGTATGTTTCTCTTAGAGCTGGGAGATGAGCTATGTAAATCTTATTCCAGACAAGGCATTGCAACTGAGTGGGGATGATGCATCCCTAGGCACTGATGTCATCAGCCATGGAAGCAAAATGACATGCAACATCCTCAGCCCAACCATCTCCAGCCACCTCTGCAAGGCTCTGACTCCATAAAACTGTTTCCATTTGGAGCTGTTTGACCTCTCTCCCCAGGGGATTTGGAGGACAGGGATACATGTTGGTGCTGTGGGACCCAGCCCAGCCCCTCCCTGTCCTGGGAGGGAGCTGGCACCAATTCCCAGTCCAAGAAACTCAGGGCTTGGTCTGCCCAGCATCTGCAGGAGACACCGCAGAGGCTGCTGCAGGCATTCAGAACCAATCTGACATTTCTCCCCAGAGAACCAAACTTTGTCTGTCCTAAAGCCACTCTTGCAATGCTCTGATCCCTTCCTCGCTGTCCTGAGAGCCCCGGCAGGCCCCGAGGCTGAGCCCATCAGATGGAATCACCTAATCCGGCCCTGACGAGCGGCTCCCGCGCCCCGGAGCGGCTCCGTCCCTCTAATCCGCGGCTGCCCGCGGCACGCGGGGGGAACCGAGCCCCGCGTGAGCAGAGGCGCCTTCTCCATCCCCTCTCACCGCCGCAGCCCCTGGCAGAACCCACCCGGAGCCTTGTTACCTTTTTGCCGTGGGACGCGCCCATGGTGGGGATGTGCCGGCCGCGCTGCCCTCGGCGGGACCCGGCGGCTCTCGGCGGTCACTGCCGGGGACACCCGCGCTGCTCCCGGCCCCTCCGCGCCTGCTGCGGGGCGGCGAGCGTGAAATCCAGCCCGGCTGTGGCGGGGTCGGGTGGGAAAGCTTGCTTTTCCTCCCTTCTTCCAGCACGTGGAGAACTCATTTTCTTCATGCACCTAACGGCTGGCTCGCACCCAGGCTCTGCCCGGGCACAAAGGCAGCTTTCATGCTGTGGATGCCCGGTTTCTAAGCCGGGATCCGTATTTTGAGAGGCTGTGGAAGATTACGGTAATTGCACTTGACAGGGCAAGATGTCACAGGATGCGGATTCGCCCAGCTGCGGCCCGGCACCGCAGGTCCTTGCCTGTGGCATCTTTCCTAGATACTCCTTTGGTGCTTTGCCCAAACGGACCCCAAAAAACGAAGGAAGATTATCCCTCTGCTGCCTGTCTGCATCCTGGCTCTTGGCTCCTGTTGCAGCACTGGACTTTGCAAACTTTGCTACCACAAACACCCCAGGCTGTGTGTTTGCTGCTGCAGCCTCGGTGCCTCCTGTGACCCCAGGTGAGCCCAGGTTACCTGAAGCTGCATCCTGGGAGTCTGGGCAGCTCAGGCTTGTGTTTGGTGAAGACACAGTGCAGAGCAGCCAGGTAGCTGCCTGTCCCTGCAGTAATACAGCTTTCAAAATGCCACGGCACTGCAAAACCTCATTTGGAGATTAATGTCCCTGCATCCACTGTCCTTTTCAGATCCTTTTAAAGAAATTAGCAAGTTCAATTTGACTCATGAATCCACATTTATTCCCTGCCTCTCAGTGTCTGGATATTTTAAAAACTGATTTATTTATCAGGACACAGGTACTTTGGCAGGAATGGCTCTTCAAAACACTGGCTGCTACTGAAGGTCCCTGCACAGGAATTGCACTTTTAGCTCTCCCTATTTCTTGAAAATAGTGATGTACCTTCGTAACTGTTCTGTGATGGATTCAGAGCTAGTTTTAACTGCCTGTAGCATGCTGAAACATAAATTTCCTTTATTTTGGCTTTAAACCAGATTTCTACTGTGCATTGCGAAGGGGTAGGAAGAGTTTCCTGCAGCTGAATGGGGCTGGTTGTTTTGGGGCTGGAGTTGATGCTGTGCTCTGGTTTACCCTGTGGAGCCACCTTTACAGCTCTTGGGCTGTTTTCAGTTTGGTTTATAAGTGAATCTAGATCCTTTGAGGGGCTTAAAATAGTTGGCATATTTATGCTGGCAGCTCGGCAGGGCTGTTGTGTCTGCTGGTTGTGTTATTTCTTGCTCTGCCACGGGTAGGGATGATTCAGCACTTGGGATTAACCGCTGTTGTTGCAGCAGATTTAGGGATCGATTTATGGCAGAGGTTTCCCTCGGTGCCATCAGGTGTGTGCTAAGAGCATGGGAGGATAAGCTGGGATAAAATACTACACCTCTTCGGGGATTCCTCTGTGGTGGCTGTTTTGGGGTTTTATTTCAGTTCTGCCTTTGGAAATTCTTACAGGTGTTGCACAGTTTATGTGGGGATTTTTCCTTGTTTAGGGAAAACCAGTTGATTGGTGGTGTTGAGTTTTGGATCCAGGGTTTCATTCTACAGGTGGCCAGCACAGGACAGGCTGTGTCCTTTCCTGGCTTTGTCCTGCCTGTGCTCCTCACTTCTGCTCCCCTGGGGTGACCTGAGGGCTCCCATAACCCTGTGAATTGCCTGCTAGGAGCTGTGCAGGGGCTGCTGGAAGCAGAGAAGGCTGTGCAGGACAGTCTGTTATCCTTCAAATGCAGCTCCAAATGCTCCAGGAGAGATGCTCCATCCTCATGTTTTGCAAAACTGCTGGTCTGCTTCAGAGAATGGGGAAAAACCAGATACAATCGTCGGAAATTAAAGTCTGTACATGATGCAAATTCATCCCTGTCTCTGATGACAGATAAGCCCAGCCATCACCCGTGCCGCTGATCTGATCCCAGCAGTGCCGGGGCTCGGGGAGGGGTTGGGAGCACACCGTGCTTGGCTGATGCATCTGGGCAGGAGCAGGGGGCAGATGCTCCCCAGGACTGGCTCGGTGTTAGGCAGCAGCGTGGGGACTGCTCTAGGAGCACTGTGGGGCTTTCCTGCTCGCCTTAGGGCAGGGACCTTTCCTCTCCAGGTGTGCCACATGGCCCCAGGCTGGGCTGCAGCTCCCGGTGCGTGGCTGACCCGGGCGCGTTGTAATGCTCCAGAGCTCTGCCGGTAAAAGGCTCCCACCTATTGGCTGTGCTGCACAACTTCAGCTGCCCAAGGAACCTGCACATCCATCATCCATCCATCCATCTATCCATCATCCATCATCCATCATCCATCCGTCCGTCCGTCCCTGAGGGCAAAGCAAGGTTGGCACAACCCTGGCATTATCCTGACCTTTGATGGGGATGTGCCACAGAGGATTTAGCTTGGATTTAACCCATGTAAGAACCCGACAATAAGAGAATGGCTTCAAAAAGTGCTCTGTCATTATGTCTGGTTATCATAATCACTCTTGAACACCTGAAAACCATGTGTGGGATAGACTGTGAGTAGCCTGCCTTGAGGCCCATAAAAAGGGAGGCAAAACTGGTGCAGAACGTGGAGGGGAAGGTGAGGGGCAGAATCCCTGACCTTTGCCTTTCCCCCACTCCACCATCATTGCCTGCTGTGGGACACCCTGAGGCCTCTGGGAGCTGACACTGCTTGGGGAGAACCCCCTGATCCTGCAGCCCTGGACCGAAGCCAGGAGTGACTTGTGGAACCCCTGCCCTGCTCCTGTGTCCCATGGCAGGGAGGGAGCACCACGAGCAAACCAAGGTTTGGCTGCAGAGACCGGGCACAGCTCCTGCATCCCGAGGACAGGCAGCCACTTCCAAGCCAGACTGCTCCCGGGATCAGGAAAGGCAGATAAGATGCTTCAAATAGCAAAAAAAACCCCCAAAACAAACCAGGCCAAAACCTGCTCCACTCTCCCAACCCTGTCTGAGCAACAACCAAGGCAGCACAGTGAGGTGGTGACCTAGCCTCTGCTTTTAAAAGTAATCTAAGTATTTTCTGACTTTTCCCTACTTTTCACTTTCTTTCTCTTTTCCTCTCTTACTATTAAATCAAAATATATCAATTTTTTGGCAACAACATTTAATCTTATTTGGTTTTATCTCATGTTTGGGAATATTTTAAAGCTTCAAAGTTCTTTCAGTTTTATACACTGAGACTTAGTTTTCTTTGTTCTTCTGGGTTTAAACCAGTTCACAACACCCAGGAATGATACTTTGGTCTGCAGATATTAAGCTACATTGCTGCATGCCATCCCTGTGGACTTCTGGCTGTAGGAGACTGTAGGACATTGGAAGAGCTCCAAGGGGAAACCACCAAAATCTGAGCATCCCCAGGGATGACTTTTCCCTGCGCCACGTGGGGAGGGGGAGCTCCTGTGTGCAGGGCTGTGGGATGGGTGATGGTGACACTCAACTGGTGGCAGAGGACCTGGCGTGCTGTGCCTATAGGGGAAAGTGTTGATTATGCTTGGAAATGGAAGGAGAAGGTAGTGTTTTATAATTAGAAATGTAATTTAAGAAATTTACAAAACCTTCTACAAAGTTTCTAGTTAAAAGATAGAAAAATAAAATACCCAAAATTGACCCGCAGATGAGGATGTCTTGGCTGCAGCCTGGCCACGTGTCTGCTCACTCTGCAGGCACTTGTACAGCTCTTCTCCAAGCCCTGCACAGTTCCTGCTGTGAAACACCCAGTTCCTGTGAGCAGGCAGCAGCTGCTGGACTTGGTGACCTGGCAGTGGAGAGGCTGCAGTCCCCACGATGGGGCTGGTGTCCCTGTGGGACTGGTGAGGCTGCCCTCCATGGCAGGCTGGAGTTTGATGCTAGTCCATCTTCCTGGGGGCACAGCCCTCCATCTCCAACAGCTCAGGCCAGCCCTCGTATTTATTTGTCTCTTTATCATTTTTAATGTGCTGCAGGAAAAAGAGAGAAGATGAATGAGGAGGTTGGAACAGCGCAAGTTTGCAAGGTGGCAAAAGCTGCAGCTTGGTTTGGCGTGGGGGATAATGCCTCTGGACCTTGTCCTCTGCAGACAGGGGGTGAGGTGTAGCTGGGGAGGTGCCACGAAGAGGATGGAGCCTGCAGAGCTCATGGCAGGGGAGGGCCCTGTACCTTTTCAAAGGGGCTCTTGTTCATCAGCCCTTTTGCTCCCAGGAAGACCCAGTTGTCCCGGAAGCCCAGCTTGTCCACGTGGCTGCTGCCCAGCTCCCTGAAATACGCCCGTACTTTGTCGTTCATCCTGAAAGAGGGTAAGAAGGTGTCACTGTGGTGCCAGCCGGGTGTCCCCTCTTTCACCCTCTCTGCTGGAGGCAGCAGCATGTCCAGCTGCCCCAGCTGTGTGTTTTTGGGGAGCCTGGTGTTGCCTCCGTGGGCAGACTCACTTTGTGGCAGCATCGTCGTAGCTTGCTATCAGCACGAGGGTGCCACGCTTGATCCCTTGGAGGAAGGTCTGCAGCTTGGCAACATCTGGGAGAGAGGAGCATTGGGGAGAGAAAAAAGGGATTTAGTCGGTACTTCTGCATGGTAGCTTGGGGAGCCTCCTCTGGGTTGGTGGGAAATGACCTGACTGTGCCGGTGCTAGCCAGGGTTTGGGGGAATGGTGGGCTCCCAAACGATGCATTCCCCATCCTGTGTTCCCACCTGGGCTCTCCTGCAGTGCACAGGACTGACGTCCTCCTTTTGGAACAGCTGCAGGGTGGAAATTCCTCCTAAACTTTGCTTGCTAACTCTGAAATCCAGACGCATGAATTTACCTCCCAACACAAGAAATGAACCTGCCTGGCCACAGAGCCGCCTTCCCTGCCGTCGTGCCTCTGGCTGTATTGGGGAAATCACTCGTCATCCCGCTTCTGTGGGATGCTTGGATCCAATGCCCCATCTAGCGGCACATGAGCTGACTGCTGCCTTTTTCCCAGTGCCTCTCCCACCGAGCGTCTCACTCACAAACTTGGCTGGAAATCTCATTATATTGTGATTCTGCTTAAAACCAGAGTCATCAAGAGTAGGTTGCAAACCCAAGGAGTGACTGAGGGGGCCCTGTCACCCTGAGCTGTGAAAGGCAGGGGAATGAGCAGCTGCTCAGCCACCACCAGTGTGCAAAAACTTAGTTGCAGGTTGCAAAGTGTCAGGATTAGTTTATCTGCCTGATCTCAGAAAGTATCTTTCTCAAGTCTCAAGTGCCTTGGTTTATTCAGGTGAGTGAAAGCATGTTTTCCAGGCTATTACATGCTTGTAAAAGGAGTAAGAAGCCAATCTTGGATGTGGAAGCATTGTGAGGACTCCTGGCTTGATGGTCTCAGGGAAAGCTGGGCTTTCACCATCCAGACTGGCAAGTCTGGTCAAAGCCCACTTGACTTTATCATTACATACATGGCAGAGAAGCAGTTAAGTAGCCAGCAGTGCTGGTGTGAGCCCTGGCTGGGAGCCACCAAGGAGCAGGGTGATGTGCTTACCTCCAGAGTACATGTCGAAGGCATCAGTTTTTAGGAGCTTCCCAGTTGTTCCTGCAAGGTTAAAATTGAAAACAGAGCACAGTGAGTTTGCACTGGGGTGGTTCTGAGCTTTGCCTGGCCACGAGCCTAGGGTTTCCTGCAAAATGCTTTGCTCTTCCCTCAGTGTGTTGTGACTGCTGCGATGGTGACTGTGTTGCTTGGAGGAGTTTGTGGAGCTGGGTGTGCACAACCCAGGTGGGTTTGCTCCCTCCTCACTGGCAACCATAATTCAGTGCATTGTGGCTGTGCTCCCCATGCAACCCCAGCTGGATGTGCTTTTGGCTCAGCCACAGTGCATGGGAAGGGGTTTTCAGTGGCCTGTGCTTTTCTGGGGAAGGAAGGACCCCTGGCAGTGGGGAGAAGGGGGTCAGTGCCTTCTGACTCACCATTCACCAGTGCAATGTTCAGGCCTCTGCCAATGTTGTTTTTTACGCTGCTCATGAGGCTGGAAAGGAAAGCAGAGAGCACCAGTGAGTGCAGGGATGCCCTGGAGATGCTGACACCAGTGAAACGGGGTGAAGTGGCTGTGGCTATAGATGGCAAAAAAACCAGAAGTGGTAGCAAAGAAATCTATTTAAAATTGTTTTAACTGCAACTACACTGTGATGGCCATTGATGTGCTTGGCAGAGGCCAAACTTGCCCTCTTGGAGGCCAGGCCAGCCACGGCTGCCTTGTCCCTGCCATGTGCTGCTTACACCAAGTCTTCAAAGCAGATCGAGGGTCCCACCACATTTGCAGCACCACTGATGATCTTGAAGGCAAAATAATTCTGGGGGCAGCTCTTCTGGTTCCCACACTTGTACCGGGGCAGCTTCTGACCTGCGAGGGAGGAGTGGGGCTGAAGGGCACGGCTCTGTCCCCATGGGGAGACACTGGCCGTGTCCCTGAGGGGCTGAGCAGGGCTGGGCTGGGACACAGTGGCCCACCAAGGGGGCAACACCTGGACCAATTTATCCCATGGAGGAGGCTTGTCCTGGGGCTGGGACCAGCTTCTTGTTTGAGGTTCATGGTGCCAAGGCCAGGTGCTGCTCCAGGTGTGGCACACGCTGTGTGCCCGGGGCATTCAGAGCTGGTGTCCAGGGCAAGACCCTTGGGGCTTTTCTACCCAGTTTCCCCATCCTTGGCCAAGGCAGGGCCCTGCCAAAGACCCCTCTGCTGTGTGCAGTAGCAAAATCCCCCCTGTTTGGGAGAGGGGGATTTTTGCCTCAGGGAAGGGGCTCTTGAAGGAGATCCCACACTTGCACCATCCCCCTGAACCCTGGAGGGGAGCTGTGTGATGAAGTCGAGAGCGATACTCACTGCTGGGCTTCTTCGTGGCACCTGTGGGTATCAAACAGGAGGATTAGACACCCTGGGGAGCTGCTGGCTCTTCCCCAAGCCAGGAGCAGCTGCTCAGGCACCAGCTCTCTAAAACTGCTTCCCGTGGTTGCAGGCATCCCTGGACCCACCCATCCCAGTGCAGCTTCCCACCACATCACATCACATCACAGCACACTGTCCCCCCCTGCCCCAGTGCTCAGAGCTGGTGGCTAAAGCCTCGGCCAGAGACTGCAAATACCAGTGGTCAGGCAGCTGTACCCAGCTCTGGGGGCTGGCTCGCCCTGGCACCTCTCCCACCCTCCCTCCGGAGCCCTTGGTGCTCACCGAGCCAGCTCCGCAGGCTGATGGCTTTCCAGCTGTGCTGGAAGTACGTCTGCATGATGAACCAAGTGCCCAGCAGGGTGAGGAGCAGCAGCACGGAGCGGATCACACCTGCGGGAGCGGCGGGGTGAGAGCAGCCCCTGCAGCACGGGGCAGGCACCGCATCATCCCTCTGCTTTACCGGGATCTGCGTCCCCAGGCCACCAGGCACGGGGTGACAGCCAGTGCTTGCATGGGGTGGCAAGGCAGCCAACAATCCCTCACCCTCCAAATGGATTCTGATCTCTTAATTACCATCTCCAGAGTATGTGGTGATGCTCAGATTAGTGCTCTGCTGGGAGGCACTATTCATATTTCTTTCTGTGTTAAAGTAAATCTGATAATTACTCAGAAAGCTATGTAAATCCAAATATTTCTTATGTTCCCAGTGCTGGGAAGGCTGCTATCCCCCAATTAGTCACTAGCTACAGCCGAGCAGCTGCTGATACAACTGTGATTGGCATTTGGCTTTAAAGCAGCGCTCATCAGAGCAAAACGTTCCAGTCCTGCATGGAACTGAGCAGAAAAATGTACTTTTATTGCAGCTGAATGGCTCTTATGGAACCAGGAACGTCTCAATAGCCATCTCTTCCCAGTCACAGAAGGTTTCCCTGGGAAAAATACAACAGGCTGAAATCGACACAAATCTTGTAAAAACCTGATGCTTATACAGAGCCCTTTCCCATGTCCCTGGCAGGGGAAGGGCAGGGTTGCTGGGCTTGGAAGGCATTGTGTAAGTGAGAAGGAGGCGTGAAGAACCATAGAAAAACAGAGAAAAGCAAATATGTGTCTCTCCTTACTTGTCACCCGCATGGTGGTGGGCAGAGAGCACAGCTGGGAGGACTGACAGTCCAGGTCACCCTGAGGAAAGAAGGCAATGCCTTGAAGAGTGCCTGTAACCCACCAAAGGCAGGCAGATCCTAGAGGAGAAGACAATTGCTGTGTTCAGTCACATTTGCAATGGTGAGGACGTCATCAAAGATATACAAATTCTTACCAGGCAGAAGGTCCCACCCTGATTAAGTCCTGCAGCAGGCTGACTGCCCGAGCTCGCTCCCTTCTGGAGCCTCTGAACCCTGCTCCTGTCTGCTGCCCCTGGTGCTCCTCGTTCATGCCCTGCTCCCAGCAATGGACCAGCCTTTTCTCTTCTGCTGGTAGCAGTGAGGACACTTCCAATCACAGCTGTGCTGCATGTTCTTCTGGGATGGTGCAAGGTAGATTTCAAATATTAGGCACTGCAAAATGCAGTCTGAGGACAAACTGAGATCTGGCCTTGCCCAGTCAGGGGAGTCTCTGGGAACAAGCCTGTCTTCCTTAAAATCCAAAGGAGAAGGGAGGAAGGGCAGCACCACCACACTGAGGAGAGCAGCCAGCTTTGTGGACACCTGACTTCAACCCAGGAATATTTCCACCTGGCCAAATCCTGGAGTGTCTTCACCCCGTGGAGAGGGAGTGGTTGTAATTTGGAGCATGAACTATTTCCTACGTGGGAGATTCCACCTGCTGCCCTCTGTCCCACTGCCACCCTGACCGATGGGACAGGCACTGCCACCCCCCACTGCTGGGCTCCCCCAGGGGCTGGGACCACTCCTACCTTTGAGATCCGGGGCTGCAGTCTGCTGAACCTCTGTCCTGGCAACCACGCTGGAGCCCTGTGGTGAATTGTCACTTGTGAGATGGGTGCTGAGACTTCATGAGCCTAATGTCAACTAAAGCAGCCCTTCAGTAATGTTTGACAGAAAATTTGTCAATGAGCTGTGCTGAGAGTTGCTTTTCCTGTTTGAAGGGTAAATAAGGAGCAGCGGGCTGTAGCAGGGCTGGGCTGAATGTTGATTTCAGGCTGCTGCGTCATGAGGAAGGAGAGGAGAGCTTTTCCTGCTGCCCAGCCCTGCTGTGGGTCCCCTCCCAGGGCTGGCTGTGTTATTGACCCTGAGCCCTGGGCTGGATGGAGCTGTGTCCCCCCTCAGTGCCCCGAGGAGAGGCTCCCTGTGCCTTCCCCTACACCCAGGGCTGGGTTGCAGCATCACTGTCCGGGGTTTTTAGGCAGCCCCATCAGTTTCAGCTGAGCTTTCTGGAGCCTGGCACTTCTCCCCGTGAGACCCCTCTGCTGTCCCCACACCTGCTGTGACACTGCAGCAAGGACAGTCTGCCAAAGCTGCTCCAGCACGGAGCTGCCAGCTTCCCATGGGAGACTGGCCCATCTGTATTTTAGGGGAAGACCTGGGAGGGATTTGTGTACCCCATGTTCCGAGACAAAATGTTTTTGTTTGTCTATCAGCTGAGCACACTGGCTTCCCAGCAGCATCTCCCTCTCTCTGCGGCTATTCCCCTCAGAGAAAGGCTGGCTGTGAGCAGGAATCTGTCCCCAAGGGGGCTGGCAGGGGGGTCTGTGATGCCACAAGCCCTTCCTCACACCCCAGCCCTCAGCACAGTTACTCTGAAATGGATTTTAAAGCTTGTGTCAGAGCTGGTATGGGCAAGCCCATTTCACTGAGCTGGTATAAGATTCACAGACCTGAAAAAGGACAGTTTAAAGGGTTTAGAGGACAAACATTGCCTGTGGCTGGATCTGGAGGGGCAGCACAAGGCTCTTCCCTTTTGCTCCTTTCAGCATGAAGTTTATAAAGACAGGGACCCTCTTCTCATTTCTGGCTCCCCATCCCAGTGCCTGATCCGATGATGGGGTGGGAAAATGGGTCCAGTTCTCACAATCCCCTTGGCAAGTTGTGAAGGCTTCAAAATTGTTATTGGTTTGCCTTGGGAGCTTGTTGTCTTCCCCACAAGTGCCCTGGATCTGGTGAGGATTCAGAGCCGGGGTGTGATTTGAACACAGTGACTGCAGCAAAACTCCACTGGGTTTGCAAAACCTTCCCTGTTTGGTCCCCAGTCCTGCAGTGAGCACTGGCCTCACTGGGGCCCATTGCACAGTCCTCCCCTTCACCAAAGTTGTGCTTTTATTCTTTGCACATATTGATTTCATCGCAGAGGAAGAGAAATGGAAAAATAAACCAATAAATGCCAGTGCTTTGATATATGGGAAGTCATATATTTCTTTGGGCCATTTATCTTCACCTTAATCCTAGATAAAATTTATTGGGTGGAGTCCCTGGGTGCTGAAATTCCTAGAACCTGATTGCATCACAAGAGAATGGCCCTGTCCTGGGATTTCTATTATATTATTTTTTAATTGTTTGCATTGATAATTTTTTTTCCTTTCTACAGTTGTGCCAGAATAAAAGGCACCTGTGCTCTGGCATTTGCCAGAGAGCTGCTGGCAGGAGAGGGAGAAAAGACGGAATTGTGATAGGTGTTAAACTGACTTATTTGTCTAATAAACCTCGAACTTGTTTGCTTAAAAAAAACATTTCAGGAACAAGAAACATTCCAGGAACAAGAAAGTCCTTGTACAAATATTGCTAAAGCTGCTCACGGCGCTGTAAAGCAAAAGCTCCACCCAAGCCTGCTCTGGCCGCTTGGAGGAGCTGAGTCACTGCTGCTGGAGGAACAGATCCCTGCCCGCCCAGGGGCTCCTTCAGGATGCGCCGTCAGTGCTCCTGTTCTCTCTCAGTGCTGCAGGAAAACTTTACTTCTCTTCCCCACAAACTTCTGCCTTTTCCCCCCCTTTTTTTTATTTTTCCCCTTTTTTTCCTGCTTTTGAGCCCCACATGTCCCTCTCTCCCCCAACAGGTCCCTGGCTGTGAACAAAACCATTTTGGTGCAGACTGGGGATGAGACTCCAAAAAGGGTGACTGCCAGATGCCCACAGCCACTGAGTCACCCATCCAAAAGCCAGGGTTTTCCTGCTCAACTCAATGCAGGGGTGCAGAGCAGGGACTGGCAGGGTGGGTGCACATCCACCCTGTGTTCAGGGTTTATCCCCACAGGGGAATGGAGGATGCTACAGTGCCATTTTCAGCCTCAAAAGGAATCAGTCTGACTAAACTTTGCTGAGTTGCTCAGGGAGGGTGCTGTTTGCTAGAGAGCTTATAAATTTTCTTGCTTATAAAAGTGCTTGGCCAGCTTCTGCATCCACCAAATGGCTGGAGAGGGCATCTTATGGCAAAACTGATCCTGGCACAAGCCCACAGTTATCTGGGGTGTTTTGCTGCTTTCTACCATAAAGCACTTGGTACCTTGTGCTCTCCTACCATTCCATCTACCCTGGTTTCTCAAAATTCCAGATAATGCCATCAGTTTTTTGAAGGAAACCCTGCTGGTGCTGTGTGGGCAGCAAGACCTGGTCCCTACACCAACCCTTCCAGCAGTGCAGGAGAAAACAGAGGATACCCTGAGCAGCAGCTGGACCTTGGACAAGCCCGACACTTTGCAGAGTGAACAAACACCCTGCAAATTCATCCGTGGCCATGATGATCTGGCCCCAGAGCACAGAGCTGATTCCAGCCCATCCCAGCTCCCCTGACACAGGGAGATCCTTGGCTCAGCCCATGGCACCAGCCCAGCTGTGCCCCACGGAAAGGATGCCAGCGCCTGGCGCTTCCCCTTCACCTCCTCTCCCCTTCTCTCACGAGAAGGAAGAACAACTAAAACCTTCCCCAGGCAGCCCCCTAACCTGCCGGTAAGTCCAAAGAAAAGCGCTGCAGGAGCACATTATTGCACTCGTGCTCTGGCAGACATTTCCCCCCGGGACGGGACAAGCCCACGTACCGCTCAGGGTCCCGGCCGCGCCGTCCCTCTCCGCGGGCGCTGGGACATCCCGGGAAGCTGGGGCTCCATGTGCCGGGACAGCTGCCCAGCCTGCCCAGCCTGCCCAGCCCTCTGGGGCACCTCCCCGAGCCTTATCTGCCTGTGCAGGGCTGGGCACAGCCCGCGGGAGCGAGAACACATCCATTGCTGCGGCCAGGAGCGCTTCCTTTGGAGGTTTTCTTCATTTTGGCCACTGCTTTTTTGGGAAGCCTCTCCCAGGGTGGGCAGCAGCCTGACTTTCTGCTCTGTCACCGGAGCAGCACGTCGGGCTGACAGGGGTGCTGCAATGGGAACAGCCAGGAGTGGTGTTCCCCAAACTGGGGTGAAACCAGAATAACCTGATCTGTTGGGATTTCCCCCATCTGTGCCGCATGTGGTGGGCTGGCCCTGAGTCTTGCTTCTCTGCCTGTCATTTACAGGAAGCTGGAGGTTCCTTTTCCAAATAAGCATTTATTTATCCATCAACAGTCCTGAACTCAAAAGGAGTCCTGAGTTAACTCAACGTATAGATTTAGGCTGTTTGTTTTTTAATCATTTATCATTGTTATTATTATGCTTCTGAAGGAAGAAATGACTCCTGAAGTTAGCACTAGGGCTCTCCATTTTTTCTGAAGTCGCACTTCATTTACCTGGCAGCCAAGAACAAAAGCATTCCCATTCCTTCTTTCCTTTTTCCTTTCCATTCTTACCACTTAGAAGAACCAAATGGCTTCTCTTGGAGCTTTTAAAGCAATTTTCATCCAAGAACCAGTGGAGGAGTCATGGGGCTGGCAGCAACAGTGCTGCCTTTGGGACTGCAGCTTGCACAGGGCTGGAGCAGAGCCCCTGTGGGACCAGCGTTTCTTCCTGAGAATTAGTTTAATACCTGAAGGTGATCTCACTGTATAAAGCTGTGCCCTGAGCTTTTCTTTGCCTCCCCCCAGCCCAGTTCTGATTCTCAATGCTGGGCAAGAGGTGCAGGAGGTGCTGAACACCAGGGGAAATCACAGCCTCTAAACCAAACCCTTTCAGACAAGGAGCAGAAAAGCAAACACAGGCCCGGGCTCTGCATTGGGATAATTATTGCCCTCGGAAGGAAATTTTAGCTGTGGTGAGAGTCTGAGCTTAAACAGCACAGTCTAAATCAAAAACCTTCTCGCTCTCTGGGGAAATATCCTTCCTATTAGTTTGTTTAGCTGCTGGCAATAACTGGCTCAGCTCAATAACAAAGTGCCCCAAGCCCTGGAGCGCCCAGCGCTCGTCCCTGCTGTGTCCCCTTGCTTGCTGCCCAGGGCACGGGGATTGTAACACCCTGGGGGAGGCCTGTTCCATGGTGAGTTTCCCTCCTGTTTCAAGGAACCTGAGGTGAAATCCTCCCCGGAGATGGAGCCATTTCTGCTGCTTGCAGAAGAAGTTAGCAAAAACCATCAGCAGGGCCACGAGCTCCAACAACGAAATTGTGTGTGAAATGCTTCTGCTCTCTGGAACTGAACAGTTCATCCAAGATGTTTCCCTAACACCACAGGAAAGGATGGGGAGCTGTGGGCTTTCCTTGTGGCACACAGGGGTGTGAGGAGCCATCTCTGTATCCTGTGGTAGCCCACGTTTTGCCCATCCATTGTGGCACACAGCAAAAATGGGCTTTTAGATCCCACCTAACATTAGGGAATGTGTCAAGTGCTGGGAGTGGGGCATCAGCTTAGTTTTGACTCAGCAAATCATTTACTGGTGCAGTGCAATTAAATTGCATCAAGCCTCATTTGCAGGCTCCCCAAGGGGGTTCTGCATGATATAAAAAAAGAGGAATTAAGATAAAAATAGTAGATGTGGTATCGGCTGCCAGACTGGGGAATGAATAATCAGAACTCACTGCACTGTGATCAGCTCTCTGGCAGACCAGCAGGGGTGAGCTGGTGAGTGAGGAGCTGCTCTCCTCCTCCTCCTCCTCCCTCCATGAGTGAACACTGGGTGCACTGACCCTCAGTGAGTGGTGGGAACCATTGGGACGCTGCTGCCAAGAAAGTGGCTGCAGGACTGTCCCTGCCAGGATATGAAGTTCAGCACTGGG